CTCTAATAAACTAATTTTTATTTTAGTAATTATTTTAAAAATTTTCAAGATCCTTTTTCGCCTGTTTTTTGATTATACTTTTTCTTTATAGAATTGTGTTTTTGTTGTATGGAAACAATATCTTTTTAATCACTGAGGGTACTCACATTTTTTTAAAGCTATTTTCTTTCTTTTTTTGATAGTCCTTAGATTTTTATTTTATTTTTTTAATTGAAGTATAGTTGATTTACAATGCTGTGTAGCTTGACTTGAGGATGAGGAGGCAAGAGCTGGCCTTCAGGCTAGGGGCACCTCTCTTTTCAAATGCCAGAAACAAAATGGGTTTACTCTTCAATGCCAAATGCCCAGTCTCTCTGCTTTCAGGCCCCCCTGCTTATGCCTGCTCTCTGTCCTTGCTGACTTCATGCTCAGAGCTTCTTTCTAGAGGGTCACTCTCCCTCCCCTGGTGGTCCTTCCTGATCCTGGTGGTGATCCAAATCTTGGTTCTGTTTCATCAGCAACTTGCCTCCAAACATTTCGCTATCCCATTCTCTTCAGAGTTCTTCCTACTATTTGTATAATGTTAAAGCCATTTAAAAACAGTTATAGGACAGAGGGAAGGCAAATGCCTGTCCTTAGTCTGTCATCTTTCATTTTTACTTATTTTTTTTCATTTTGCAAATTGGGTGATTGTGTGCTAAATTTTACATAGTAAACGTATTTTCAATATAAAGTATATATAGATGTATGGAGAAAAATGTGAAAGCATTTACCACAAAACGGTAAACAGAGGTTATGTCTGGAATTGTGGGTTTTATTTTCTTCTTGCCTGTACTTTCTAGGATTTCCACAATAGACCCTATTATTTTCATAACAAACATAATAAAAGTAAGTTTTAAGTGCTGATAATAGGATTGAAAGGTACTTTCTGTTATACTTTCAGAGGAGGGGTCTGCAAACATAGGCGACCCTTGCATTTGAGAGGAAAGGTGAGATTTATGTTCAGAGACCTCTGAGAATCCCAGATTTGAGAATACCACTAATCGAGAGATGGATGGACCCAAGCTACCAGGTTTATGTTTTTGTTACATGCTTCACATACAACCCGAGGAGGCAGGTAATAATTTCTCCACTGCCAGTGACGCATTATCAGGCCCTTTCAGATTTGTTCTCCACTGATAATTGAAACCAAAACCACTACTACAGGAATCACACACCAATACCACCTACAGGGGCCAGGTAGGTAATGACAATGATTGAAGTGAACCAGGTGAGTCTGTGCCAATCTCAAGAGCACATGCCAAGTCCGAAGTGGTCACTGCTAGTCAGCTCTCACTGAATGTTGGCTTCCATTTTAAACTTTCTTCATATTGAGGTTCGACTGACATATAATGAACTGCACAGATCAGTGTTTGGTTTAATGTGTTTTATCATGCATTTCAGACCACTATGCACAGAACCTTTTCATCATCCAGAATTTCTCCTAGTGGCCCTACCTAGTCAATCCCTGTCACACCCCCATGTCAGGGAGCCTCAGTTCCGATTTCCATCATCATAGATTAGTTTTGCTTATTCTAGAACTTCATATAAATAGAACATTCAATTTTCAAAGAGAACTTGAAACTGTATTTTAATGAAAACTTTCTTAATTTTTAAATGTTGGAAAACAACACAAATTTTTATAAAACAATATGCGGACCCAACAAATCACACAGGCTACATTCTATTCACTAGCAATGCAACCACTTTGTGTCTGGACTACAGTATAAACCAAGGATATACATTGTATAAGTTTATTAATTTCTCTCATGATTGTTGGTTTTGGTACTGACCATTTTTGTTTCTTATTGACTAGTGGCACATTCTTTAAAAAGGAAGGGCAAGCCTAATCTTCAGGGCATCAAGAAAGCAAAGATGGGAAGACTGAATCCCACTCCAGAGCCAACCTTGGGGATAAAGAAACCACAAGGGGAAATATCAGTATCGCCTGATTTGATGAGGAAACAAAAACTGGTTAACATCCAGAGGGGGTAACAAACTAGAAACAGAGATCACAGGGCTTCCGTTGTTTTGGCTAACCAGTAAGAAGCCGCATCTTCAGTTCACCGTAGCAGTATCGCACGGAAAAGGCCCTACAAGATCTTCCCCACCCTCCCAGACTCCATCACACAGCCACCCCTTTCTTTGCTGATTTCATTTCCTTCCACTTCCCCCCTCATCACTCTGCTCCAGCCACTCGGACCTCCTTGCTGTTTTGTGTATGTGCCAGGCCCACACCTGCCTCAGGGCCACTGTGTTGGCTAGAAAGCTCCACTCCCAGAAAGCTCCATAACCTATTCTTATCTTTTCTTTTCTTTTTCTTTCTTTTTTTTTTTTTTTTTTTATCATCTCCGGGTCTAGTCTCAGGGTCACCTTCTCAGGCCACCTTATTTTAAATATTGCCCAACCAACTCCTCCACTGCCTTCCTCCCAGCTTTCTTTTTCTCCATGGCACGTATCACCATCTAACTCACAAAGTATTTTACTTCTTTATTTTCTGTCTCCCCTCCTGCCTTCGCAAAAATGAAAGCTATAGGAGGACAGGTGCAAAGCAGAAATTCATTAGACACTTGTTGAATGGATAAGTGAATCAAGGAAGGAAGGAAGAAACAAAATACCCTGCTAGCTTTGGAGACTGTTGTTAAAAGTGTTCAAGAAAACAGGGACAAGTTAAGGAGATGTTATCATTTCTAATTACCTTGAGGAAGTAAAGATTAAAAAGCAAACTAATGATAATTGAAACCAAAACCTAAGAACCAGACCAACCCTGATTACACTTACTAGCTTCAAAAATTAGATTTGTGGGAGGACAAATGCTTATATATAAACACATAATTGGGTGTTTGAGTTTAGCAAGAATTAAGTTTTTCATTAGATTTAAAGTTATGATGATAAAACCATCTTTTTCTAGCACATTTGTTCCTATCTTAATTCATTTTAAGATGTAGATAAAGAATAAATTGTGAAATAACAAAACAGCCTGTGCCCAATACCACTAAATCTTTGGGAACAATGATCAGCAATAAACATATAAAACGAATCCAATCTTAGAATTTTTTCTTTGTGCAGCCAGCTCTAGGAGGATGGAGAGTGCGGGGCTGAGCTGAATCTGTGGTTCTCCATCACATTTTTGACTCCAGGTAAGGGCAGCTCTGAGACACAAAAGTAAAGAGCCCCAGAGCCAGTAGCTTTCCACTCCAGAAGAAAATATTCCCCAACCTAAGACATTATTTAGTATTAAGTCAGGCTCTGGGATTGGTCAATGCTGAATTAGACCAAGTATGTCCAGGCTGCCAATTCACCCATGAAGATACCACTCCACGCACTGTGTATGGAAGATGCAGGGAACACGTAGGGATCGTGGGCCACAAGCCCACATCTACCAACACACAGCAGGTGGGATCCGATTTGCCTAAAGTTTAGAAAACTTGAGAATAAATGTGTAGCAGCTCTAAGACCAATAGCAGAGAGAAAAGAAATTAAGTGTAGCTCCTTGCAATCCATGAGCCTCCTTAGCCTTGTTTTACGTTTCCTTCTTAATGCCTTTCCATCTTTTGTCAACTTAGGTCCATTTCCCTTTACTGATCTGACAGTCACACATACACAGTTTTTTTTCTTCTTCTAAGTGTTTTGGGATACGAAGGGCAGTGGGAGGAAAAAAAGGGTAGGATAAAGAGAAATAAATTTCATGGATTACACTTTAATAACTCCTATCTCTAAACTGAAGAATAATTTTCAAAGTGTGAACGTGTACAGAATTTACAATGTAATGGCAACAAGATTAGGTCCCAACAACTGATGAAAGTACACAATGTGCTCTTATCTCAGTTCTGGTAACTCGATAGTCTACAACTACTTGAGAAGGTGTGAGGATCATTTTTTTATCTCAGTTTGGACACAGAAGCTCACATTTCAGCAACGATCGATGTGATCATCCTTATCCCTTGCTGACACCTTCTCCCCAACCCCAGAAAGTCACAGATCACCTCTAGGAGAAACTTTCAATAGGCTAGTAAACACTGGCATGGATACCGAGAGAAGAGAGATAATCGTCTCTGGGGACCTTCAGGAACAGCTAATCATTTTAGATGGGCAGAGTTACACCTAATTCAGTCCATCAAAACGAACGAGGTGCCGAGAACTCGCAAAGCATTGTGGGAATATTGAAACCACGAGAAGGCACAGCATCTTCCCTGAATAAACTTAAATTGCTTGATTTGGACTGCTTCTTAGAAAGGCATGTTTAGGCTTGGTTACCGTGGAGTGGACATAATGCTGGGCCAAGCTACGCATGAAAGCAGATTTTACTGTTTTTAGGTTACACAACCTTAGAATCAGTTCTTAGCGTTTATTTAACCCAGTGATTCTCAATCTTGGCTGGACATTAGTGTTTCCTGGGGGTGTGGGGGGACTTGTAAAAAACAGAGATATCTGGGCCTGCCCCAGACCAATTAAATCAGAATCTCTGACCCAGTGTATACACATATTTTAAATAAACTCTCCAGTTCCATCAAATGCATGAAACTACACAGTAGTTGAGAACCACTGATCCCATGACACACACTTTATACATAGAAAAATTAAGGTCCAAATAATTTAATTGATTTGTTACTTAACCAAGATCACATACCTAGTTAAGGAGAGAACTTGGATTAAAACCATGATCTCCATTAATTTAGTAATCCAGTTAATGTCTATCAATGACATTCTAGGGTTGTGACCAGTTACCTAGTTGTCACTCAAAGATAAGATAAGTTAAAACTGGTTCATATCTAAGGATCAGTTAGGTTGGTCCTGATCCAAGTTAAAAGGAGACAGTAAACCGTGACGGTTCTGGCATTCTCTTTCTTACCATTTTCTTCCAAATAGTGCTACATGATTTAGGCTTCTGGAAATATTAAGGAATCTTGTAGTCCAGGTAAAATTCATCACTACCTATGACTCACTCTCCCATTTTACTAGTTCCAGGGGCCTCTACTTACCCAGATCCAACGTGCAGCACACAGAGCAGGGGGCAGGGTCCCCAGATGGGAGGTCTAGTGCAGTTCAGTGAAATCTTGATCTGTGAGGCTGAGAGCTGGAGATGGGAGAGCTTGCTCCTTGGCCCTGGGGATAGAAGAAGGAAAGTTAATCCACTGGTTACTGTTTCTTTTTAAAACAATTTATGTCCAAAATATTCTTAATGCTGTCCACTCATTCCTAATACTAACCAACTCTCTCCAAGACACAACCACTGCTACCACAGTGGTTCACATTGAATATGGTAATTATATATCTATCTTCTTCCCAAAGGTGAACTACTAGTATGTGTTGTGTGAGAGTAAGTTCAAATTTTGAACTCAACCATTCCCATATTAGAAAAGTTGGCAGGTGATAAACGGTTCTGAATGAGGCATCAGTGCTAAGAGAAAAATCATCTCAGAAACACTTTCCTTGAGAAGAACAAGAAAAATTGAAAAACGAGATTCATGATGTTCAAGATAAAAGCTGATCTTGAGCAACTAAAAAATTAATAGGACTAATTTGTCTTCAGTCTTTTACAACTAATACAATTATTACTTCCCATTCACAGAACACTTACTCAAAAGGCCAGGTATTTATTCCATTTGAAGTAAATTAAAATATATCTACAGTCTGTGGATTTACCCACATCCTTGCTTCATTTCCATTTTCCTCCGTCTACCTACCTTTTGACTTATTTACTGCTCCTGTTCTTTTTTTGTTTTTTTAATAAATTTATTTATTATTTTTGGCTGTGCTGGGTCTTTGTTGCTGTGCACGGGCTTCTCACTGAGATGGCTTCTCTTGGTGCAGAGCATGGGCTCTAGGCGCACAGGCTTCAGTAGTTGTGGCTCATGGGCTTAGTTGCTCCACAGCATGTGGGATCTTCCCGGACCAGGGCTCGAACCTGTGTCCCCTACATAGGCAGGCAGATTCTTAACCACTGTGCCACCAGGGAAGTCCCACTGCCCCTGTTCTTAAGCAAGATACCATGAATCCTCCAAAAGATACACAACATTCTAAATGAGTGTGCATTTTTTCTAGGGATCAAGTCCCTAGCTTTGGCCAGATTTTAACAAAGGCCTGTCCCCTCCCCAAAAGTCCCCTAGAATACAACTGTTTTCAAGGGTAAAATGGGGAAGCTGATGATCATGTTGATGGCTTCTGGTATCTACAGTTAAAGGTTTTATGAAGTTGGTCTCTGGAACTATTTTCAAAAGAAGGCTTGAAAGATTTCATGAAACTGGATCTATCTTCCAAAAGAATGGACTTAGGTAAGACAGTTTGGAAAGCACCAGAAATTAAATTTATTCATGCTGACTCTGTCTTCTTTCGTGCAAGATTTCACTAGTTTGCAACCAAAGGAAAGGAAAATCAACATCTAATTTTTCTTGTTGATTTTGACTTCATTAACTTAATGGTAATGCAAAGGCTAAGAAAACATACTTTCTTATTTAGTTGTATTACTTAGAAAACCTTTTACTTTGGAATTACTAAAATGCAGACCACCTGCAATGGCACGATAAAATTGCCAAATGATTAAGTTATCAGGGGCTACACATGGCATTTAGCATGAAGAGAAGCCCAACTGTTTTTGATTTTAAATTGAACAGGCAGTGCACACCTGCATCTACACCTTACAAATCAGTCCACTGTTGTTGTTGTTGTTTTAATTACAAAGTTCCACCATCTTCCATTCTTCTGCAGCTCTTAGCAAAGCACCTCATACAGGAAAGGTGCTCAAATTCTTGTTGGATTGAGTCAATTCTTTTGGTATCACTCATAAATTAATGAGGAACGTGTAACTCTGTATAGTTTCAGAGTAGTTAAAGAGAAAAAAAAAAAAAGAAAGAAATGCTACGTAACAGAATTGGGGCTTCAGGTGTTACTTAACAGGCTAGAATGCTTTCCAGCAGTGCACTTAAGATATCAGCCATAGCAACCTTACCTAGGAATTCTTCCCCCTGTTTCTTTCTAATGCACATTGGCTTGAATTTCTCTCTCCTGCCTCCCGTCCCCTGCCTGAAAGTCTTCAGAAACAAAGAAACACTACAGAAATAATTAGAAGGATTGCCTGGCAAAAACCTATTTCAAATTTCACTTCAGAAAGGCTTATGCATCCTATTGCATGCTTCAAATTCCTCTCCATTTCCAAGCTCACCTTAAATGATACATTTATATAACACTAGAGATTCCCAGTTCTCAGATAAGAAAAAGATGAATCAGTCCACCCTCCACCCCGAAATTGCCATTTTTGTTGTGTTTCCATTCAGGTTTTGAAAGTTTTAGACCCCACATTGATACACAGTCCTCATCACGGGGAGGAAAAGAAATCTCCCCACCTGCCTCACAGCCTGTGTGACCGCTGCTTTAGGGTTTCCATCCTGCTTCATCGTGGGTCTGGCCCAGAGTGCGCCCCAACTAGGCAGTCAATGCAAGCGAACTGATTTCCTGATCGACTGTTTTACAAGTCAGGGCTTTCAGAGGCCATCATGTCAGGGCGGCTATTACGGTAGAGCGCCCACTGCTTAGGCCGGAGACTTGTCTTAGGCGGGAGGCCACCACTACCAAATTCTAGGGCAGGAAGGCTCTCAGCAAGCCCTCCGCTCAGGGAGAGGCCGGAGACCCGAGGTTCAAACGTCCCCCGGGCGCCGGGAGGAGGCGGGGAGCAGCCCAGTCTCCGAACCACAGCTCCCCTGGGGGAACCAGAGCCGTCCAAGCGGCGAGCGCATCCCGGCTCCCAGCTTGGCCGGGGGCGGCGCTGGGCTCCAGGGAGAAGACGAAGGGCAGCACCGAGGCTGGGGTACACGCGGCCTGAGGCTACGCACAGCGGGTTAAGGCGGAGGGTTCTGGGCGCCTGAGAGGCTACGAAAACAAAACTGTAAAGACCAGAGGGTTGCGTTAGAACCACAGGGGCGCACACGTCCAGTGAAGACGCAAACGTCGGGTAAAGAAGCTGTGCGGCCGCGGCCTCGGGGCGGGGGGGCGGGTTGGCAAAGGAAGGCGCTTCTTCAGACTTTATCCTGTCAGGGGTGAGAGACGGCCAAGGCGTGGGCACGTCAAATGTTGACTTCGTTTTAGGAAAGGGGTTTTCGGAGAGATAGAGAGCCCGAGACACAGAGCGGAGCTAAAGACGCCGGGAGAGGCGGCGACGCAGCGAGCCCCGTGGGCCCCCGCGGACCAGGCGGGGGGCGCTCCGCGCGCGTCACGGCCGCTCCCGCCCCGGCCCCGGCCCGCGCGCACTCACCGGCCGGCGCTGCCCGGCGCTGCCCTGGGCGGAGCCGCCGCCCCGCCGCGCTCCGGAGCCGCTGCCGCCTCGACGCCGCGCCACTGCTTCCTAGACCGGCAGTGGAGGCGCGGCGCCCGGCGCGACCCGTAACCCGAGCCCGCCCCGCCCCCCGCCGCGCCGCGCGACCCCTGCGACTCAGAGCCTCCTCTCGAACTTCTAAGGTGGAAGGAAAGCCACACCCCGCGCGTCCAGCCCAGCAGTGCTGCGCGAGCCACACCCACGCTCGTCTCCCGCGGCCCACGGACTCCTCAAGATGGGATTCGTGCAGCAAACAGAATAGGACAAGCGGGAGTATTCAAGCGGGAAACATTTCATTGCTTACTGTCATTTTTTTTTTTTAATGAAAATACCCTAACAGATATTTCAAAATACACTCATTATGGAGACTCACGTTGACACAGGAACAATGACAATACTGAATTGACAGTGCAGTTGTTTTGTTTTGTTTTTGTGGTACGCGGGCCTCACACTGTTGTGGCCTGTCCCGTTGCGGAGCACAGGCTCCGGACGCGCAGCCTCAGCGGCCATGGCTCACGGGCCCAGCCGCTCCGCGGCACGTGGGATCTTCGCGGACCGGGGCACAAACCCGTGTCCCCTGCATCGGCAGGCGGACTCTCAACCACTGCGCCACCAGGGAAGCCCTGTTTTGTTTTTTAAAGCTTTGATAAATTGCCTCGGATGAACACTACCTGCAAACATGCGCGACAGATTCTTTCCCAGGCATTCGAGTTAGAATTTACAAATCAGCTTTTGTTTTTTATTAAGTAATGCAACATAATATGCGATTTAGGAGAAAGGAATATAAATGGAGGGGAAATGGAGACTGGAAAGAAGGAAGGGATAAAAGAAGCAAAGAAGGAAGGGAAGAGCCTGTTTTGTTTTTAACACATAGGATAAAAGAGAGCACCGTGCCCAGAGTGCACGAATCCAAGAAGGTGAGGGGTAGAAATGATTTCAACGTAAAAATTTTCCTCTGGCTTTGTCTTAGCAAGGATTATGGTTGGTTCATTAGGGTCATTTTTTTTTTCTTTCTGCTTTTGTGCGTTTCCAGAGTGCATACTGTTGTGACACATGATGAGCTAGCTATTTGGCAGCGGGTCTTAAAGCTGAAAAGCGCGCTTGGAGACCCAGTGGCGTCTGAGCAGAGGCCGGGTATCACCCTCGCAGCGCGGGACGGGAGAGCTGGAAATTTCCTCTCTACTCCATAGGAGGGCACTCTCGTGAAGAGCACCACACCAGCCTAAGAGTCCTGTGATGAGGAAGTTACTGGTATCTCGGCCTGTGTGTAAAACCAATTTTGCTTTTCTTCAGGCTTTGATCATCCCTGAATAAATCCTAACAGAGTGAGATACTGAGAAGGAATGGGATTCCTGTGACATGAATTTCTATTGTCGTCCATTTGACACTGGTCTTTGCCATCTTAGGAGATTACCTTGTCACACACAGGTCCTGCAGCCCAGTACTTAAACTATAATGTACATGGGAATCACCTGGGGATCTTGTTAAAAATGCAGATTCTGATTCAGTCGGTCTGGGTTGGGCCTGAGATATGTTCTAACAAGCTCCTAGGTGGGGCTGGTGGGCCGATTGGAGGACCAAATATTGAGTAGCAACACTGTAGACAGGTGAATTATAAACCATTTTTGGAAGTAGTGCTCAGGTACCTAATATAATAACAATTGTAATAGTAATACTGAGTAACACTTATTCAGTGCTTGGCACATGTGCTTGGCATTGTTCTTAGCACCTTACCTGTATTAACTTATATCACAACAACTTTGTGAGTTAGTGCTATTGTTTCTAGTTTAGAGATGAGTTTACTTTCAGTTTGGTGGTTTGATTTAATTTTTGAACTTGTAGATTAACATTGACCTCCAAAGTGAAAGCTATACAAATGTTAATAGTCAGAGAAATGTCTTCCCTCCTTTGTTCCACTCATGCCACCCAATCCCCCCCCCCCGCCCCGGGAGTAACCAACGTCATGATTTTCTGTCTTATTCTTCCTGGTTTCTCTCCATAAAGCTAAGAAGGTATAGCTATGTGTTCTGTTTCCTCTTCTTTCTTAAAGAGTGACTGTAAATGCTCTTTTGTGCTTAGCTTTTTTCACGTGCCAATATCTATGGAAATCACTCCATATCACTTCACAGAGATTATCCTCATTCTTTTTTACAGTTACATAATACTCCATTGTGTATATGTACCACACTGTGTTCAAACATTCATGTATGTTTGGATATTTATGTAGTTTCCAACATTTTATAGTTATATTTTATTACAGTTAGGAAATTTAGAGGAAGACCAAATAATCAACTTCGAATCACCTAAACTATGAACATGAAAGAAATTACATTAAAATTAGGAATGCCTGGGTTTCTTCAGTGTTTAAGGGAGTTGTTTAGTTTTTGTTACGGTGATTGCAGAGGTGGTGAAAAGTGCCTGACTTATCATAGTATGTCTGTTTTCCATGGATAGTAACATTAAGGGATTCTTATAATAATTTTGCTGTTAGTTTACTGTCTCTAGATTTACTGAGGCAATATTTCTTACACACAGTTTCTGTGCCTTTTTTATTATTCACATGTATATCCATATATTATTCAACCAGTATTCTCTCCATAAAAGTCATGTTTCCAGACTTTTCTTTCTCTGCTGTATTGGCATGGTTTCTGGACACTGGAACCAGGGGCTGGAATAAGGTAATAAGGCCGCTGGAGAGAGGCAGACTTTCCTATTGTCATTGCATGGTCTTCTGTGTCTATAAAGACAGCATCCATTTCCATCCATGTTGGGTTTAAAAAATACTGTGAAAATTCATTTATAATAAGCACCCAAAGGACTAAATAGAAGATACAGTTATGATGACAAGCTCCTCTTACCTCTGAACTGGGATTCTTTCAGTAACAGCTATTTTTTTTCTTTTCTTTCTGCGCAATAAATACATAGTCACTTTTTGTATTTACTACTATATTTTGTATGTGAAGCAGTTTGTAGTTTCTCTAGAGAAGTATGAATCCTAGCAACATTCTTATCAGACAACTTAAAATTATTCCTCAGCTGTTGTCCCAAATCTACCTGTTAATTCCAGTCTCCCAGCTTCTTTTCTTAACTCCAACCCCTCTCCGCACTCTTCTCAGAGTGGACTTATCCCGGTGCCTCCTGGGTAAAGCTGAATTTTGTTAGTTTGAGAAAGTACTCCCCTTCCCTCCCTCCTAAGGCCCCCAGCAACCCTGGACCCTGACGTCTCTCCAGGCTGCTCCCTGGCACCCCTCCTCAAATACAAATGAGCTTTGACTCCCCCAAGGAGCCAAGCTGCTTCCCGTCTTTGCATTTTTGCATACGCTGCTCTATTGCTAGAATATATTTCCCCATTGAATCTGCCTGACAAAGCCTATTTATTCTTTTTTTTGGCCGTGTCACGCAGCTTGCGGGATATTGAAACCAGGCCCCCAGCAATGTGAGCGCCGAGTCCTAACCGCTGGACCGCCAGGGAATTCCCTATTCTTTTTTTTTTTTTTTGCTGTAATATTTAGATCCTCACATGAGAACAGAAATATGACAAGCCCATTTGTATGCACAGAACTCATTCAAGTCTTAACATTATATTATCTTTTGACTTTTAAAAAAGAAATAAAATGTTTTAGATACAATGTCTTCCACATCCCCCACTCTGATCTTATTTCCTCACCCGAGGTGACTACCATCATGCATTTGTATGTATCACTCCCATACATGCTTTTATAGTTTTGCAATGTATGCATGTATTCATAAGCAATATACAGTATTTGCAAGTTTTAATATTTGATAAATGGCATCACACTACATTTATAATTTTGCAACTTTTGTTGTTATCGTTAATAGGTATACTCTAAGTTTATCCATTTTCACCACCAAACAATGTTCTATTATGCAAATAAATTACAATTTATCCATCCTCTTGTTGATGTACACTTGGATTGCTTCCCATTATTTGCCAAGTACAAATAATGCTGCTGTGAACATTCTTGCACAAATCTCTTTGTGTATACATGTGAGAGTTTTACTATGGTAAATACCCAGAAGTAGCTTCGTCATGCTGTATACACAAATACAGTTTTTACTGATATTGTAACATATTCAATGTTACTAATACTATACTACTCTCTACAAA